ATCTCCTCCTAGAGCACCATTGCGTTCATTTTAACCAAATATCTCTTAGAGGGGCGTGGGGAGGGGCTCCTTATTTTCATCTAAAGTAACAGACAGAGAATCAGCACTTTGGAAACAGGGCTGAAACAGAGGGGATTATGGGTAATGCCGCAATGATCTGTTTGGTGTTTGGAGCCAAACACTGCAGAGACATGTTTTGTATATATTGATGAAAAACAGTATAATAGGGGACCTTTAAGTCACAGTCTTGCTTATATTCAACTTGCTCAAGCAAATAAAAAAAAGTTTTGGATTACTTCTAAGGTTAAAGAGATTATGGTTCATGAATTACAATTTCACGGATACTGAGAGGAGAAGATTTGAAAAGTGAAAGCAGGGGAAAATGTGATTTTCTAATGCTGTCATCAATTGTCATTTTCAGGTGAAGGGTTCTAGGTGATGGGGCTTGGAGGATCAAAGATGAGAGAATAAAAAGACTACAATTTTAAGACTATTTGTGACAGGGGAACATTTAGAATAAAGGTATTCTGATTCTGATTTGATATGTCCGACGCCAGATGGAAAACAGGAGGTGACGACGGGTAATTTGAGAGTAGCAGGAGGGAAATTATTTGAATGTATGGGCAGCAGCAGGGGTTAAGGTGGTCGGAAAACATTTTTAAATTACGAATAATATATAGCAATCGGTATCCACCATGTGCCGAGTATGTTTGTAAGAGCAAGTGTTCCTATGGATTCAAAAGTAATTTAAACTAAATGAAGCATTAAGGCTCTCCTGAATTCAGCCATTCACGTTCGCTTTCCCCCCATTACCTTTTCCCTCTCAACCTTGACTAAAAGGAGAGATGTGCACTGCCATAATGACAAAGAGGAGAGGAAATGGAGGGAAAAGGAGAAAAACGACTCCTGTCTCTTGTGCTATGATTGCCACAGGTAGACTGGGGCATGTTTGTGAGTCTCTGTCCATCAATTTATCATCAAAATGTACAATATGTTTTGGCTGACATTGATACAATATGTACTCGTATACTGTCCATGGTTACTTAACACTAGAACAGCCAACGGGTACATTTTACCCGCAGCTGTTTCTTGATTCTATGTAACTTTTACTCCCAGTCTGTGACTTTTCTATTTATACCCATCAGCGCCAGCGGGTAATATTTACCTTATAGAAAATGTAGTGATTTTCTAGCTATTGATTTTGCGCGTAAACATAAACATGACGTGTTGCTATAGCAACGCCTGTTGTCTACTGCGGTTCCTTATAGATAGAGAGATAGATAGATAGATATAGATAGATCGATAGTTATAGATAGATAGATAGAGAGAGATAGAGAGAGAGAGAGAGAGAGAGAGAGAGAGAGAGAGAGAGAAGAGAGAGAGAGAGAGAGAGACTTTGCATATAGCTCATGGTAGCGATATTTTATACTTCATGCTATCTGCACAAACTAGATGTCATATGAAAGCTGAGAGTCCACAGATTCTATTGGTATAAGTTTCATCACTGTGCGATCAAAATTCACTGTTAACCCTGTGTTCTAGTATGATGAATAAAAGAACATTGTACCTTGAAAATCAATGCATTCTATTAGCGGGTACATTTGACCCATTGGCGGTTTTAGGTATACAGCGACACCTGGCGGTTCTAGTGTTAACAATGGTTGCAGACCTCATATCATTTTAAGAGCCAATTGTCATGTATTAAAGTACATCCATGCTTCTAAAGTATATAAATAAGGGAATACAATTAGTTACTACATATGCTTCCAATGCTATTCTTCGTGATCTGTGCATGAATACATGTCTCCTTTTGGTGTATGTGTTGGTCGCACATATGTTTATGTAGTCAGTCAGAGACAACAGTACCTTGTGCCAATGTCGTTGCGTGCAGCCACTCTGAACGTGTAGCCGCAGGCGGGAAACAGTCGTGAAACCTTATAGTGTCTCTGGCTCCCAAAGTAACATTCTCTGAAAACACTGTTCTTCTTTCCCTGCAGAGGAGACAAGAGATAAATGCATGTATGAAAACGATGGAAAATAAAGTAAATAAGATTATATATAAGAGATCCATTACAACAGGAGAATTGTAAGGAAAAAGCAAGGGAAAGTACAAAATCAAAATGAAAATGTGTTGCTGACACAGATCGGATTAAATCTTATCCGAGGAGCCGGATGTTGACATCTGTTTAGTGATGTCTGCAATAGGTAAGAGTGCTTTTTGGAAGTAAGGGGAAGGCTTGACAAAAGATGGAAGAGTGAGAGACAGACTCACCTCGTCCCACTCGAGCAGGTAGTTTGTAATTTTGGCTCCGTTGTCGCCCGGGGGCTGTGGACGTCAGCAAAATGGACGGAGAGAGGCAGAAAGGAGACAAGAGAGAGACGAATAGATAAGCAAAGGGAACAATAATCTGACACTGAGACAGACAAAATACCTGCTGTGACTTTATGATTGGCCTCATATCCTGTCTGGGTAACTGATGCCACTTTTTTATCAGTGACAGTATGAGGGGATAAAATAACTTGTGTAAGAAGAAGTTAAAGAGAAGGCGGACGGATGTAAGAATGTCACTCTATCAGGTGCTGTTGTGCAGATAAAGTCAAGCTAGGTATTGAATCAAGTAACATACTCTTCCCTTTAATCAAAGAATAACGTTTTTCCCCAAGTGTCTAACTCTACAAACTGGTAAGGTGGACATAAAAAAAACCTAGAGTCTTGTTTGGCAGTGTGGATTTATCCATTAGAACCAAATGATTATAAGTCACTGTGATGTTTATTGGGGCAAAATGTGTTTGTGATGAACAGGCATGTGTGTTTGTGCCGGTACCTTCCACTGTAGGGTGAGGGTGCTCTTGGTGCGGTGGGAGAGTTTCGGGCTCAGCGGGACATCGGGGATGCTGCAGTGAGTGGTGAACGAGCCGGTCTCTGAACACGAGCCTCGAACCAAGTTGTACATTGCCGACACCCTTTAGCAAACACACAGGACATCAAATCAATAGGGCTGGATGAAGCTTGAATCCTAATATTGTGAATACCCACAAACCTGATTTATAGATATTAGGAATGTGACAAAAACACAGGATTCAAGTAGTTTTAACACCACATCCAAGTCATGAATGTCCTACGGGAAAGTCCTTACCGTACGTGGTAGTCTGACGCTGGTCTTAGGTCTTTCAGGTGGTACTCCATTTCTTCGCCACTGAAAACAAACACACAAACAAAGCATAAAAATCAAGGCAGTATCCTTTTGATGTCTCTGTATTTGTAGCTGATGCCTTGCACTTTATACATTTGGAGTGTGTTTCCTACCTGTATATAAGGCGAAACTTTCCATCTCGTCCCTTATCTGAGAGAGAGACCTCGAAGGAGCAGGACACAGTCATCCCGTTGCTTAACCTGTTCCCCAGCCCTGCCGGGGGGGCCCAGCACAGCCGTGCAGCCCGCGCCTGCACATTAGAAACCTGTAAAGACACAAATAAACGTAAATATACACAAAAAAAACAAATAAATGCAGGACTATTGGTTTATTTTATTTCTCAGAAACCCTTTGCAGCAGTCATTCTAACTTCTGGAACATGTAGTTAAGATACATCCATTTTATTTTAAAGGGCTGTTTTAATATGTATTATTATGTGCTCTGTGTGTGTGTGTGTGTGTGTGTGTGTGTGTGTGTGTGTGTGTGTGTGTGTGTGTGTGTGTGTGTGTGTATGTAAAGCAATGCGGCGTTGAAATCACCCCTCATATTTGACCATTTTCCACTAATCCATTGTTCCGGGAACACGTACGAAAATAATAAATTAGGAATTAGAGGCTTGCGTGTGTGTGTGTGTGTGTGTGTGTGTGTGTGTGTGTGTGTGTGTGTGTGTGTTTAACAGCGTGTCTGTCTGTGTGTCTGCAAGTGTCTGCGTGTTTATGGGAGTTTTAGTTGTGGCACATGGTGGGTGAGCCAATTTAGCGTGATTTAGCACAGTCTGCTGCTATTCCAGACTCCACATCCACTGAGTAGGCGATGAATGCGCCTTGAGGGCATTGCAAAACCACAACCATGCCTAGACTGTCTATGAGGAAGACAGACATGAAGAGACAGACGTGTCATTTTATGAGAGTTTTGATCACAATGATTACGTTTTATGGGAACATATCACTGTGTCCATGTGCCTGAGGACACCATTGTCTTTTATGTAACATTTTTTACAACTAGGAACACTTTTTCCAACACTTATTCTGTCAATCACTTCGCTCACATGTACACTTGAATGGCCTGATAATGCAAGCAGAAGAAGCTTGAGAACAGCAACAATGAGGAAAGACTGTGAGACTAAGACAAAATGATAGAAATCAGGAAAGAAGGGCACAAAGAAACAAGGATTAGAAACGGAGATGAAAACTGAAGGTCAGCACTAAAGGCCCAGATACACCGGCCCGAAATCGGCAGTAAATGGGAGTCGGGCCGAACATGAGCGTGGGCACGCCCTATTCGGAGTGGTGTGCAACGCACCGTCGGGTCTTTTCTGCCGACCTGACGCCTTTTCTTGCCTTTTGTTGTGGGAACACCACCGGAAGACGGACAAAGGGATAACACTGATTGGCTGTTCAGCTAGCAAATCAGTGCATGAGAAGCGTTAACGGAAGTGAGGGAGGTAAACAAATGATTTAAAATCAAAGATGGAACACACGGCTATTTCACCTCATCGGTTTATAGAGCTCCTGTTCTTTCATGTTTTCAATGGACGAGAGTCAAAATGGAAAGAAAAACGCTATTTGTTGTTTGTTT